CACAGCCAACTGTCCAGGAGGCGAAGGGGAAGCCATTCTTAGAGACTTTGTCTGGAAGATGCTGGGGTTCCCACTGGGCACAAGGATGGGGAGGGTTGGGTGGATCACAGGATTAGCATGAAGCAGAGAAGAACATATGGATGTTTAGACACCTCCATGAACATGGGGAGGAAGGTGAACTTGGATGGGAGGGCAGAGAGCAGTGGGTTAGGGAGGAAGGTGAACATGAATGGGAGGGTGGCGAGCAGTGGGTTAGAGAGGAAGGTGAACAAGGATGGGAGGGTGGAGAGCAGTGGGTTAGGGAGGAAGGTGAACACGGATGCAGGGTGGAGAACAGTGGTTAGGGAGGAAGGTGAACACAGATACAGGGTGGAGAACAGTGGGTTAGGGAGGAAGGTGAATGTGAATGGGAGGGTGGAGAGCAGTGGGTTAGGAAGGTGAACGTGGATGCGGGGTGGAGAGCAGTGGGTTAGGGAGGAAGGTGAACTTGGATGGTAGGGTGCAGAGCAGTGGGTTAAGGAATGAAGAGAGTGGCCCTGGGGCCAGCTCTGTCGTTTAGTCAGCCCTGTGTGAGCATCACTCGCTGAGCCTCAGTTTCCCCTTCTGTGAATTGAAGAGAGAAGGTGCCCTCTAAGGACCTTCCAGCCCCACCATCTGTGATGCTGTATTCACTTCCCAGGACTGCTGTAACAGAGTATGACCAACTGGGTGGCTTAAAACAACAGAAATTTAGGTCCAAAATCAAGGTGTCGACAGGTCATCCTATCTGAGAAGGTTCTAGGCAAGAATCTTTCCTTGTCTCTTCCAGCTTGTTGTGGTTCCTGGCATTCCTTGGCTTGTAGATGCTGCACTCCAATCTCTGCCTCCATTGTCACATGGCCTTCACTCTGTGTATCTTTTCTCCTAAGGAAACCTGTCAGATTGGATTAGGGCCTATCCTACTGTTGTATGATCTCATGTTAACTAATTACTTCTGCAAAGACCCCGTTGCCAAACAAGGTCACATTCACCAGGGGTTAGGGCTTCAACCTATCTTTCTGGAGGAAACAATTCAACCCATAACAGATGGTGTTGAGACTGTCAGACCTAGAAGGAAGTACATCCCTTTGTACCATCCATAAATCCCTTCTTTTTAGCTCAGCTTTGGAGCAGCATAAGCCCCCCTGAGTTGCTGGTTATACCCCTTGGCAGTTACATGGCAGGGGCTCATTTGACAAGGGGAGCAGACCCAAACGCACCAGCCATTGGTCAGGCTGAAGGTGCAGGGACCTGACAAGGCTCTTGTCTGAATAGAAGGCCATCGTACTTGCCCTACAGACTAAGCTGCAGGATACTCCCAGAGAGGGAATTTGGCGTCTGTTCTATAGGTCCTAGAGCACAGCCACAGTCATTGTAGCCTCGGAAATGTTTAAAGTGCTCGTCTCAGTCATTAGAAGAGAAAGTACATTTTTTTTCAGTCAGCAATGAGGTAGGACTCTTAATTTTGCACAGTCCAGCTCTCTGGTGTATCCCTGATGAGGAATTGGAAATAAAATATGAATGTAATATGGGACTTTGATAGAAGAATTCTTCTCAAAAGCGGGAAAATGTAGAATAGAATTTAAAATATTCATGGAATCCAGACTTTCTGGAGCCATAGAGGCTGGATTAACCCCAAAACTATTGCCCTCAGGTAATCTTTGAACCTTAAACCAAAAATATCCCCTGAAGTCTTCTTAAAACAGTAGTTTAGCTTGACTAGTAAAGAACGTATGCCTTCAGCATTATGCTTTTTTAAGAACTATCTACGTGTGATCAGATAGACAACAGCAACTCTAAAGGTTTGTCATGGATTGAATTGTGTCCCCCAAAAATATCTGTCAACGTGGCTAGGTCATGATTCCCAGTATTGTATGATTGTGTAATCTGATGTGATTTCCTTATGTGTTGTAAACTCTACCACTATGATGAGGTTATATGTGATCTCCTTATGTGTTGCAAATTCTGTCACTGTGATGAGGTTATCCTGATGAGGTTTACAAGATTAGATAGTGTCTTAATCAATCTCTTTTGAGATATAAAAGACAGGAGCAAGCAGACACACATGGGAACTTCATACCACCAAGAAAGCAGTCTGAAAGCAGAGCACGTCTTTTGGACCTGAGGTTCCTGCGCTGAGATGTTCCCAGACCAAAGGAAGACTGATGCATCACAAGGACCTTCCTACAGAGCTGACAGAGAGAGAAAGCCCTCTCCTGGAGCTGATGCCCTGAATTTGGACTTGTAGCTTACTGGACTGTGAGAGAATAAATTTCTCTTTGTTGAAGTCATCCACTTGTGGTATTTCTGTTAGAGCAGCACTAGATGACTAAGACAGTTAGGAAACTTAGGGAAAATGAGTTTATGTTAATGGGGAGGGACAACTCAGAAAACAAGGTGAGAATGTTTGCACACCTCGAAGAATGTAATCAAAGTCACTGAATTGTAGATGTAGAAATTGTTGAATTGGTGTATGTTGTTCCGTGTATATTTTCAACAACAACAAAAATAAAATATTTTTAAGATAATATGGGACTTTAAACTGAGCCAGTTTAATGTGTTTAGTATGGTTGCTCTGTAGGCGCCCCCCCCCCTTTTTTTCTGGAGTAATCAGATCCCTGGGCTGCTTGTCTTTTAAGGCCTCTTTAAACAGTGACAGGGAGTCCCTGGGTGGCACAGTTAAGCACTCGACTAAAGGTTGGTGGTTCGAACACACCCAGAGGCACCTCAGAAGAAAGGCTAGATCTGCTTCTAAAAGGCCACAGCCTTGAAAACCCTATGGAGCAGTTCTACTCTGTACAAAATAGGGTTGCTACGAGTTGGAATTGACTCAATGACAACTAACAACAAACAGTGACAATAAAAACCTATCTGCTATGGGTAAAATAATCTTCTATAATTACTTTCTTTTGGGGAAGAGAGCAAAGGATATCCAGCTGATCCAAAAGGGTTGTCAAGTTGCAGAATGACCCTGTGTTAGATTCAATTTGATTTAAACTTTTTCAGAGACCAAATTGTTGCTCTTTTCTGTACTTTCGTTGGCTATAACTTAGAACCATTTTCTGCTAATCTTCCTGTTTAAAGCATGTCTCTGGTATGTGGCACAGGGTTTGGAGTTACTTTTTTTTCTAGTTTGAGACATATCTTTTTTTAAGGTAATTTTGTTCATTTACGTTTATTGTTGTGTCACATTTTACTAGCTTTGGCTATCATGTTTTGCTTCGTGTTTTGGTTATAATTTGATTTCCCATATACTTGTGGTTTTTGCATGGTTGCATATATAGTTTCACTTTAGATTTCTTAGGTCTTATCCAACATATTTCTTCTTAATCTAAATCTCCTAATAACTAACTTATACAAACACCCAGTGTTCTTATTTCTTTAGATTGCCATATATAGCTATCACACAGCAGAGGCACTTTGGACTTCCTTCCACAGGCATCTTAAGCTGTTGGCTTTCTCCTCCCCGGGCCTGTTGTCTACCCTCCCCCATGCCTCTGGGTCTCAGTGTTGAGAAACACATTGATTCTCAGTTCTCCTTTCCTAAATCTCTCACATCTAGCTTGTATTCTCTCATTTGTACTAATCACGTACATGTATACTTAGCAGCACAGTATTATGGAATGGAAAGAGAAAGATTTTAAAGGACATTTACTCATTCTGGACAGGTTATGCAATCTCTTCAAGCCCAGCCCACGGGCCTTATCTGCTTAAAAAAAGAAAAAAAGCTATACACTGAGGAATGATTAAATGAAAAATTGTGTGAGGTTTCGCTGGCACATATTAGCTGCTTGATAAATGTTAGTCTCCCTTCTCCCTCCCTGCTAGTATTCTTAGTAATTTAGTGAATGGTTTATCATAATACCGTGAAACTTGGCCTCTGGGATTGAGTCATTCTTTTTGGTGGTAGGTGATGCTTTTAAGAACACCAGCTATGGACCTGGGGCAAATATTCTAGTCTGAAGCTTTTGTTTTCTTGTCTTTAAAATGGAAATAATATTGATCAACTTACAGGGTTTTTTTTAAAACAGCTTTATTGAGGTATAATTTGCATATCATAAAATTCATTTTAAGGAAAATTAATTTAAATGTACAGTTCAGTGATTTTTGGTAAATTTGCAGAGTTTTGCCACCTTCACTACACCCCGATTATAGAACATTCTACCACCTCAAGCCTCCTAGTTTCTGGTAACTGCCAGCCATCCTTGACATTCCTTTGCCGTTTAAAGATGCATCTGCCTCCATCATCGCATGGTGTCTCCCCCGTGTGTCTGTCTCTCCATGTCTGTTTTCCGTTTTTGTAACACACCACTCAGAAGGAATAGGTTTAGGACCTACCCTATTCTGGTGTGACCTCATTAACATAACAAAAAACCTGTTTCCAAACAGGATCACATTCACAGGTACAAAACCAAACCCATTGTCATTTGAGTTGACCCCATGTGTTACAGAATGGAACTGCTCTGTAGGGTTTTCTTGGCTGTAATCTGTACAGGAGCAGATCGCCAGGCCTTTCTTCCACAGTGCTGCTGAGTGGGTTCAAAGCACAAACCATTTGTGCCACTTAGTAGCCTTTTTATTCACAGGTAATACAAGGGTTAGGATTTTAGCATATATTTTTGAAGGACATGATTCAATCCATAACAAGGGCTTTTCCTCTTTTTTCTTTTACTGGAGAGCCTAGTGTTAAACATTTGCCAGCACACCAGCCTGCCTTTCCAGTGTTGTCACTGTCATTCTGCTGACAAGGATGGTGTTTTTACATCTGAGGAAACTGAGGCTCAGAGCACCTCAACTTTACCCATTCTGTGTTCTCTAGTGATTGTTTTGTTCTGCCAAACCACCCTACCACCAAATTTCCATTTTGATCATTTCTTAATATTTTCGGTGCCAAGCCTTCCTTGTGTGTTGGCTGAGCAACACTTCAATCCTGCCCCTTCCTTCTTAACAGGAACTCTGTGTGTTCTAATTTGTTCTTGCAGAACTTCGCTAAAGAATTTGTGATCAGTGATCGGAAGGAGCTGGAGGAAGACTTCATCAAGAGTGAGCTGAAGAAAGCTGGGGGAGCCAATTATGATGCTCAGACAGAGTAACCCCTGCCCTCCCCCTGCCCCTGGCCAAACTCATTTGCCTGCTCCCCGGGGGAGGGGCCCCCCTGGCCCAGCTACCAGCCCACCAGCCCACCAGGGAGAAGAGAAGCGACGAGAGGCAACACCGCCACCCTGTGTCTGCAACCCAGTCCCCTTTCTTGCCTCCCTCATGAACCCTGTTGTCTTCTATCTCCTGATGCTCATGGAACATCTTTCTTTTACTTTCTTCTTCCTTTTCCCCCTTTTTTGTTCTAAAGAAAAATCGTTTTGATGCCAAGGTCACACATGTCATCAGATTTGAGGTACCTCCTGTAGTGACCACTTTTCCTGACATTTCTCTTGCCTGGCCTGAGCCACCATGACCTCACGTTGCTAATAGAACCTGTGCTGCCATCTTGGTTTTCTTCCATGCCCTCCTGTTTACTCATAAGGAGGCAGCTGTCCCAGGAGCACTGTTGGTCCACTTTAGCCTTTGTAAGAACACACACATATCCCGGCTTGGACCTCCTAGAATGTGCTCCAGGGTCCCTCACCCCTATTCCAATCAAACCTGTGCCGCTATCTTCGTTTTCTGGTATGCCCTCCTGTTTACTGTTAAGGAGGCAGCTGTCCCAGGAGCACTGTTGGTCCACTTTAGCCTTTGTAAGACCACACACATATCCTGGCCTGGACCTCCTAGAATGTGCTCCAGGGTCCCTAACCCCCATCCCAATCAAACCTTTGCTGTCATCTTGGTTTTCTGCCATGCCCTCCTATTTACTGTGAAGGAGGCAGCTGTCTCAGGAGGAGTGCTGTCTACTTCAGCCTTTGTAAGAACACACATGTATCCTGGCTTGGACCTCCTAGAATGTGCTCCAGGGTCTCTCACTCCCACCGCTGTCAAAGTTGCCTAAGCGACATGTCCGACAGAGATGGGGACAAGTCTAGGTCTGACTCAGACCAAATAAGAAGAGATAAAATTTGCCTTAAAACTTGGCTTGGCAGTGGCTTTGCCAGGTGGTCTGGAACCACCTGTCCCCATCCTTTTGGTTGAAATCTCATTGTGGCATGAAGAGAGGGCAGAGGTCTGAGTCCCAGGATTTGGCAGGAAGAGGTTAACTTCAGGGGCTCCCAAAGTGACCAGGACGTTAGGGACAGAGGCCCACATGGGGAATGGGAATGTACGCGGAACTAGGAACTGGTCCTCACATTCAGCAGGGCCCTCTGCAGACCTGAGGATGCTTGGGCCCACAGGCCTGCTCTGCCTGTTTTGCTGCATCTTGAGCGGAAGCTCTGGCACTCACGGGGACCCCGGCGTCTGTGGTTTCAATCATCTGTACCACACATTCAAAAGGATTTTTTTTTTTAAAAAAAAAAAGAAAGATGAGATTGGCTTGGTTCTTCATGAGCACATTTTATGTAGATCTTTTTCTTTCTTTTCTTTGCTCATTTCGTTTAGGGGGAGGACGTCTGTACTGTATTGGGGTTGTGAAGAACATCTGTGCTCAAACAGTTTACAGAAATAAATGTGTTTTTTTTTTTCTTTTTCCAAGAACAGTTTGATTTTCTGATTTGTCTCATAAAGCTGCTGCTTTCTTTTTTTCTTTTTTTACTGAAAAAACAAAGGCAATTGTCATACCGAGATTGTGAGGCATTTGTAGAGCTACTGGGGATTAGGCACATTCATGTTCAGTAGCATATTTACTTCTTAACAACCACCACAAAAAATAGGTGCGTCTTCCTCCCCATTTTGTGGAAACAGAGACTCAGAGAGATTAAGCAACTTGCCCAGTGTCACCCATTGAGGAAGTGGCAGAGCTGGGGTTTGAACCTGGGTCTCCTGAAGCCCTGTTGCTATAGCTTGTGGGTGAGTAGGGAGGCCCTGGCTTTGAGGGAGTGATGAGACAGCAGGATTGCCATAGTTCTTGAGTGGCCAGAACCCTCCTCCCAGACTTCTCACAAAAGCTGCAAGAAAGCACCTTCTGCAGTTTAGCCGTGACATCCTTTCTAAGCTCATGCTGAAGCTTAAAACTAGAATTTCAGCACACCAGGTCCGGGGGGACACAGAACCAGGCCAGCAGAGTGCAAATGCACAGACACCTGGGTTTGGAGGAGCCAAGTGTGGGGCAGGGAGGGTGTGGGAGAGGATAGAAAACAAAGTCTATAGGACAGAATCTTGCAAGATGTAGGCAAGGCCGTGATCACACTGCCCCCAGCCCACCCGAGCTATGTCTGGGTTCAAATCTGTCGCCTCTTCTCACCAGCTGTGTGACGTCAGAGCAGTTACTTAACCTCTCTGAGCTTCAGTTTCCTCATCTGCAAAGTGGGCAGTACTCTTACCTACCTGTTAGGGATTAAATTGTATCCCCCCCAAAATATGTGTTGGAATCTGGCTTAGTCATCTAGTGCTGCTCCAAAAGAAATACCACAAGTGGATGACTTCAACAAAGAGAAATTTATTCTCTCACAGTCCAGCAAGCTACAAGTCCAAATTCAGGGCATCAGCTCCAGGAGAAGGCTTTCTCTCTCTGTCAACTCTGGAGGAAGGTCCTTGTGATGCATCAGTCTTCCTTTGGTCTGGAAGTATCTCAGCGCAGGAACCTCAGGTCCAAAGGACGTGCTCTGCTTTCAGTACTGCTTTCTTGGTGGTATGAGGTTCCCATGTGTGTCTGCTCGCTCCTGTCTTTTATATCTCAAAAGAGATTGGATTAAGACACTATCTAATCTTGTAAACCTCATCAGCATAACCTCATCACAGTGATAGAATTTACAACACATAAGGAGATCACATAAAACATCTTCATAGTGATAGAGTTTACAACACATAAGGAAATCACATCAGATTACACAATCATACAATACTGGGAATCATGACCTAGCTAAGTTGCTACACACATTTTTGGGGGGACACAATTCAATCCATGACAGAATCCTAACCCCTATACCTGTGGATATAATTCCATTTGGGAGCGAGGTTTTCTTTGTTATGTTAATGAGACTATCAGTATAGGGTGTGTCTTAAACCTATTCCATTCTGAGATATAAAAGGAGGAGATTAGGCACTGTAGCAAGCAAACATAGATGGGGAGAGACAGACCCTACGTGAAGACAGTCAAGGCCCAGGAACTCTAAGGAGCCAACTACTAAAAGCTGAGTAGAAATCAACTCGATGGCAACTATCAACAACAGAAGCTGAAATAGACAAGAAAGGACCTCTCCCTACAGCCAGTGCCCTGAATTTGGACATCTGGCCTCCTGAATTATGAGAAAATAAATTTCTGTTCTTTAAAACCACCCACGTGTGGTCTTTCTATTACAGCAGCACTTGCTAACTAAGATGCTACCACGGAGGAAGACTTGAGAGCAGCGATAGTGTGTTTGAAATGCATTCAGTGGTACCTGGTGTTTTGAGTTCAGCCTTACTGTGCCGTTGGGCCTCATAGCTCTATGCGTGTCAATTTTTTCCTGCACCAAGTTAGTTTCTCCTGCTTCCCAGCATAAGGGCTTCTAGCTACAGTCGGAGAACTTGAGCTCAGTAGGTGACCATCTTCATGTCACTGTCCTACATGTGAGTCCCGCAGGCTTTGGAGAACCTGGCCTGGAGAGTGGCTGGTCTCCTGGGCCCTCCTCCAGCTCATTTCGATCCCACTCCCCAGCCTAAATATGACTAGTGGGGAAAACCAGCATCCTGAGAGAACCAGGAGTTGCTGCCTGACCTTTTCTGGCCTAGCCTGGAAGTCACACAGCATCATTTTCTCTATTTTGTTGAAGTGGTCCTGTTGCTGTTAGTTGCTGTGGAGTTGATTAGAGCTCGTGGCGACCTCCTGTGTGCAGAGTAGAACACCTCCATAGAGTTTTCAAGGTCCTTTCAGAAGCACATCACCAGACCTGTCTTCCCAGGCCCCTCTAGGTGGGTTTGAACTGCCAACCTTTTGGCTAGTAGTAGAGCCCTTAATTGTGCGCTACCCAGAGACTTCAAAGTTAGGGAACATAGACCCACCCCTTAGTAGGAGAAACATGAAGGAATTTGCCTCCTGGGGGCACAGGTGAAGGAAACTTCCCTGCCTAACTGTCCTCAGGCTCTGCAGAACTTGCCTGGGGGTAGGGGTGGGAGAGGCAGCCGACAATACGACAGGCAAATAATTACAGGGTGTATTTTTGTGCTCCCAGGAGCTTGCTGCTCCTAGTTTATTGATCCCTGGGAGATACTTCTTGTTTCTTAACTTTGCCCAGCTCTCCTGCAGGTGGCTTGAACCCAGGGATTCTTTGGGGGTGGAGAGGCAGGCCGCTCCCCCATGACCCTGGCTGGGGGAAGGTCTGCTGCCCCCACCCTGGGGTGGGTTGTCCTCACTGCAACCCCCTGGTGCTTCCTGTTCACCATTTGTTAGTGAACCACAGAAGAGATGAAGAGGTCAGTTCCTACATAGCAGGACCAGCTAAGAGGAACCTGGAGGCAGCTTTGGGTGGAGCTCAGAGCTGGACCTTGGGGTGGTACAGGGTGTGGGCCCCCTCTGCAATTCTAATCACCCATGCCTCTGTCTGGGGGCCTTTCAGACACTGCGGGACTCTGAGGACACGTCTTGGTTCTGTCGTCACTGGGCCACTGCCTCCCTGCAGCACGTTCTTCCTGGGTTGCTATGGGCCGATTCCCCTTCTCCATTTCCCTTACAGGTCCCCCTCTACCCTTCCTGGGTGCTGGGAGGCTGACCTGTGTGGGCTGCATCTACATCTCTGATGGGGGCACCAGAAGAAGATGGGACTGGGGTACTAATCCCCCGGCTCTCTACTGCAGGGCCCCTCTCCACGCAGCTGCCCTCTCTGGGTTCCAGGAAAAGCTCTTTTCAAGCCTGGGGCTGCTAATGCCCCTGCCCTGCTGTTGCCAGCACCGGCACACCCCAGGTCACCCAGGGACACCTTATGGATGTTTCCCTGGACTCTACTCACACCTTTGTGGACCAAAAGCAAACCCAAACCTATTGCCCTGGCGTTGATCACGGCAACCCCTGTGCTTCATGGGGTTTTCTTGGCTTTAATCTTTATAGAAGTAGATTTCCAGGCCTTTCTTCCACAGCACCACTGGGTGGGTTCAAACTGCCAACCTTTAGGTTAGTAGTCAAATGCAAACTGTTTGCACCACCCAGGTACTTCCTTTGTGGACAGTTCCCCATTAAACTCTACCCCCATGTGCTGTGCCATATATTTTCTTTTAGGATTGGGCTTTTGGGGCCCTGTTTAAGAACTCTCTGCCTACCCCAAGGTCATCAACTTGTTCTTCTGTTATCTTTTAGAAGCTTTATTTGAGTATACATATACTTTCCAATGACGCAGGACCAGGCAACATTTCATTTTGTTGTACGGAAGGTCACCATGAATTGGGGCCGACTCGAAGGCAACTAACAACAACACTTCCCAAAAACAATAAAGCTGATTTTTCAGAAAGGGTCATGTTTCCCTCTAGGCCCAAAGGTCTTCGCCCTGACCACTCCCAATACACACTGGAAAATAAAACCACAACAGTGCTCTACTCTGTACTTATTTCTGGGCAAAGTGTCACAGTTGGAAGGTCAAGGGCTTGTCCCCTTTAAAAACGTCAGTCAGCCTTAATGGGGTTTTAAGCCTGGTGAACACTGAGCCCTTGACCCCAAGTTTTACAGATGCCTCCTGAGAGCAGGTTTAGAGGAAGGAGGAACTGGGGCGCTTTCTGATTGTGCAGAGGAGGGCTCAGAAACACAAAGCTGGGGTCTGAGAGAAGGTTCCAGCCCTGTCCAGGGCTCAGGCCCATTTGCAGATAACGCTGGGAACTTCTAGGGTTGTTGAGAGAAAAGGTTTCTGAATATTTGCCACCTAAGCACAGCATGAGGGGGAGAAGTCCCTGCTCACCGTCCTTAAGAATGTAGGTAGTAAAGGAGAATGAAGAACACCAAAGACACAAGGAAAGTATTAGTCCAAGAGACAGAAAGGGCCGCATAAACCAGGGACTTCATCACCTTGAGACCAGAAGCACTAGATGGTGCCCGGCTACCACCAATGACCGCCCTGACAGGGAGCACAATAGAGAGTCCCTGATGGAGCAGAAGAAAGATGGGGTAAAGACCTCAAATTCTAGTAAAAAGACCAGACTTAATGGTCTGACTGAGACTGGAGGAACCCCAGAGAGCATGACCCCTGGAATCTCTGTCAACCCAGAACTAAAACAATTCCTGAGGCCAACTCTTCAGACAAAGATTGGACTGGACTGTGGGACATAAAATGATACTCGTGAAGAGTGTGCTTTTCAGCTCAAGTAGATACATGAGACTAAATGGGCAGCTTCTGTCCGGAGGTGAGATGAGAAGGCAGAGAGGTTAGGAGCTAGTTGAATGGACACGGGAAATTCAGGGTGGAAAGGAAGAGTGTGCTGTCACAGTACAGGGAGAGCAATTAGGGTCACATAACAATGTATGTGTAAATTTATGTATGAGAGACTAACTTGAATTGTAAACTTTCACTTAAACCACAACAACAAAAAGTTTTAAAAACGAGTAAAAGATGAGCAGAAGAGAAAGATG